AAGACCTAAAAAGAGCATGCTACAGGGACACTGCTACATCGATGTTCATAGCAGCACAATTCACAATAGCAAGACTGTGGAACCAACCTAGATGCCCTTCAATAGACGAATGGATAAAAAAAATGTGGCATTTATACACAATGGAGTATTACTCTGCATTAAAAAATGACAAAATCATAGAATTTGCAGGGAAATGGACGGCATTAGAGCAGATTATGCTAAGTGAAGCTAGCCAATCCCTAAAAAACAAATGCCAAATGTCTTCTTTGATATAAGGAGAGTAACTAAGAACAGAGTAGGGACGAAGAGCATGAGAAGAAGATTAACATTAAACTGGGATGAGAGGTGGGAGGGAAAGGGAGAGAGAAGGGAAATTGCATGGAAATGGAAGGAGACCCTCAGGGTTATACAAAATTTCATACAAGAGGAAGTGAGGGGAAAGGGGAAAATAATACAAGGGGGAGAAATGAATGACAGTAGAGGGGGTAGAGAGAGAAGAGGGGAGGGGAGGGGAGGGGGGATAGTAGAGGATAGGAAAGGCAGCAGAATACAACAGACACTAGTATGGCAATATGTAAATCAATGGATGTGTAACTGATGTGATTCTGCAATTTGTATACGGGGTAAAAATGGGAGTTCATAACCCACTTGAATCAAAGTGTGAAATATGATATATCAAGAACTATGTAATGTTTTGAACAACCAACAATAAAAAATTAAAAAAAAAAGAAATTCATCAAGAAGACTGAAATCTCAAAAGGAACTAATATTTGGTTTTGCAATTTCAATTCTACTACAGATATTTGTCATGAGAAAATGCATAGCATATGGTAGTAATAATAGATTATTATTTATGTGAATAGTTTATTATTTATCTGAAGATTAACATAGGACAGGCATTATTCTTAATGATTTATACTTATTTATATCCTTCTAAACCCTAAAAGGTTTCTATTTTACAGATGAGGAAACAGAGGTGAAGAAGGGCCCAGTGGCTTTTCCTAGCACCAATGAATTAACTAGCAGAGCCAGGATCTAAACCAAGGAAACCACTTCTTGAGCTAGCATTCTTTTTTTTTATATATATATATTTTAGTTGTCATGCACCTTTAATTATTTATATGTGATGGGGAGAATGGAACCCAGTGCCTCATACACGCTAGGCAAGCGCTCTACCACTGAGCTACATACAACCCTATAGTTAGCATTCTTCCAGCTTAAATCTTAGATCCAGGCACAATTAAGAATGGAAACAAAAAACAACAACAAAAAAATGTGTGTGTGTGCGCACAAGCATGTTGAGTATGTGCATATATAACATCACCAGTTTCATGAACTTTTTTGGGGATCTTTTGTTAGAAATGTATTGGATTTCTTGACAACTGCTGCATCCTCAGTTATATGAAAGGGTAGATGACATTTTGACTCAGATATATATATATAAATAAATTTAAAAATCAACTGGGCACAGTGGTGCATGCCTGTAATCCGAGAAACTTGGGAGGCTAAAGCAGGAGGATCACAAGTTGGAAACCAGCCTCAGTAACTTAGTGAGACCCTATCACAAAATAAAAACTAAAAGGGCTGGGGATCATTGCTCAATGGTAGAGCACCTCTTGGTCCAATCCCCAGTACCACAAAAATGAAATAAAACTATGTTTTAAAAAATTGAGTATTCAATACTTAGTCGATCATTTATTTAAATCTCCTTTTATATATACTTTTAATTTAATTTCAGTCTTTAGGTCCTAAATTTGAATATAAAATTTATATGTTAATGAACTAACTTTATAGTCAATGCCAAATATGTTTATTCAACTATTGATTCAATCAAAATAACACAGCTATAAAACTAAAGAATCCATTATGTAGAGTGTCCTTTTAAATTTCCACTTTTCTTTTTAGAGCTTGACTAATAACTTATTTGGAAACTGCCTAAAATAATTATGAACTCAGATATTGGGCACCAGATAGACTTTTGATTTCGATAAAATACGATGGTTTAGACAAACACCCAAAACAAGCTAACAAATTTCTATCTTTTAAAAAATTACTGAATTATATTAGAGACTGACATTGTTATGGTTCAGTAATCCCATCCTTATGTTGAAGATATAATCAACACATAATTGACATAAGTGTTTTTACTGTGTAGGGGGAAAGGTCCTCACCACACAGAGAGTCTGATAAGAGGTGACACAGTTTTGTTTTCAGCATATGTTTACTGGGTTCAAAATTATGGGCTTTTTCAAAGATTCCAAATACCTGTATACTTAAAACAAATCTTCTATTGTATACAGAATTACTATGGAAATGGCAAGAGAAACTTTTTCTTTTCTTTTTTTTTTTACCAACACACAACAAAGCAATGAATTTGAAATAAAGGGAGGGATATCTGAGATAAAGAACTATGAAATATGATTCTATCAAATGTTCTGTTATATGTTAATGAACAAATTGTTTCTTTCAGCTTCATTTTCCTAATCTGCAAAATGACCAGATTTTATCAAGTAATGTCTAAAATTCTAAAATTATTTAATTTGTATTATTTTCACACATTTTAAAACACAAAACATTTTAGAAGTTTCACTTAATCCAATGACTTCAAGTTTCCTCCCCAAAATCTACCCATTAAATTTTTTTTTTTGCCACTAAAGTGAGCAGCTGAGGAACTAACAGTCATTCATATATATATATATATATATATATACATGAGAGAGAGAGAGAGAGAGAGAGAATTTTTTAATATTTATTTTTTAGTTTTTCGGCGGACACAACATCTTTGTTTGTATGTGGTGCTGACGATTGAACCCGGGCCGCGCACACATGCCAGGCGAGCGCGCTACTGCTTGAGCCACATCCCCAGCACCCAGTCTTATATTTTACAGGTTATAAAATGGTCTCATTTACTTCTGACATTGTTCCATTTAAGGCTTTCATCTTTGTCTCTTCTCCTACTTCTAATACCTAGCCCAGTGCCCAGCATCAAAGTAAACAATATCCCTTGAATGAATTAAATGAATGGAATTTAAATGTTCAAAGAAGATTCCAGACCTTCTCTCTTTCCTCAGCACAGTGGCAGTGGGGCAGGGGTGTGCAAAGGCAGTCAGTTTGCAGCATGCTCAGTGGGATCTTAAGTTGTCATCAGTTTTCAACTTTTTCTAGAGGAGTCATTTCCTCTGAGCAATATAACCCCCATGACAAACCCTGAGGTCAACCCAACATACCTGGGCCGTATCCCTGTTGGCGTCAGGAAGTGCCATGACCATCAGGTGTAAGGCTTGAAACTGCACTTTGATGTGAGGCCCTCCTAACAAGAAAACAGAAATAATCACACATTTGAAACAACACTGATGTATTCTGACAGCATTTCTTGCTAACATCTGGTGGCACAGGAGGGCTCCTGACAGTTTTCAGTGGTAAGGACTCAGGTTCTGTGCTCAACAATGTAAATTTGTTCACTTGGACAGGAGCCTCCGTCTATCAACTTCCCTTCACATCCCATCATGCCACTGTAAAAGCAGGTGGCCAACCAAATACTTAAAATAATCCCAGATTTGTATAGCATCTCTATTTTCAAAGGATTTTCACAGACCTCGCCTTACTTTTATACTAAAAGTCTATTTGCTCAATTTTGCTTCTGCAAAATGAGGCAGCAAGATATAGTTATTATGAAGATTTATTCTAGAACCAGATTCAAATTCAAAATTTAAAGTCTACTACTAAATCACTGTGTGAGTTTGGGCAGGTTATATAAGACCTTATTGCTTTCTTTTTATCTACAAAATGGGAATAGTCATCCTACCTACCTTACAGGACTGATGTGAGGACTAAATGAGCTGATAAATGCACAGTGTTTAAGTTAGTGCCTAAATACAATCATGGCTACATATGCATGCTCTTGTGATCAATGTCACCTGTTCTAGCTTGTACAGGGACATTTAGGGACGGTGTTTGTGGTTTGCTCTTTGGAGACTGTTGAGGCATTTTATTCCTTAAAGACACAAGATGGCGCCAGAGGGTTGGCATTTATATAGAGTCCATCCACACAAGATAATCCACAAGCAGCCGTGCTGAAATTTTAAAGTACACTAGAGAATCCAGACTTTCCTTCATCTTTCTGTATTCTCCTCAAAATGGTCTCTTGGTGAGGAGTTCCTGCAGGAAAGCATTATGTTCTGGAATCCCTCAGGAGTTCTCAAGTTCAAGAGAACTTCAACTTGAGAATATTATATTCAATGGCTGAAAAGCAGGCAGTTTGTTATAAAGTTACTGAGCTTCATAGCAGTGAAAATGCTCACGTGACGAGCCACTAGGCTAGCAGAGGTTGTGAGTACTGGAGGTAAGGATGGATGACAAGTGTATACAATCATGAACAAGGCAGCAGTGAGAGGCATGTTTATAAGGATCAGACCACATGCTCTCAGCACAACCCATATGTGAAGTTTAGATATTTATGTCAAATTCATAAACAAAATATGACCTAAGTTCAGGATGTAACTGAAAACCACCAATGCACATTGACGTGAGCTTGCCTGAATAAGAACCATCAGGAGAATGTCTCTGTACAGAGCATTTAGGGACAGAGAGACATTATTTTAATACATAAACTGCAGATTGCAGACTGTCTCTAATCTTCCAATGTAATACAAAAACACCTCTGGGTGGGGGAAACGAGATGCAGATGTAGGCTTGGGAGCTCTCTATTTCCATCCGTTTCAGAGAAATTATGAAGTTCTCTTTACAATTAAAAGTTTCATGTGGCAAATAATCCATTTTCATTTTACTTAGGAAGCTTGGTCCTAAACTGTTCTGTGGTTAATAGTTTTGCAGTTAATTCGTTTAATGCATCTTAGTAGAGAACATTCTTTTTCCTGAGGTCATTATTCTCCCAGAAAGTTATTAACACTTCAAGAAAGCATATGAGGCTCAATTGATGAGTTTTTTAATTGTACGGGCAATTTGGGGGCCAAGATTGAAAAGAGAAAGTAATTACACAACTGGGAAAGAATCTGTGCTCTCTGAACTTCAGTATCAAAAGGGTTGCTTATACACGCACGCGCGTGTGTTCACAATTCTCCCCTTCAGAAAATCTCGTTAAAACGAGAGCTTTCTTCAGGTGGCAAAAAGGCCATTATTTCCTGCTGCTCATAGGCTAGAACTCTGGGCTTCCTGCAGGGTTAGCTGGTATCAAATCAATCACCTGCAATATAGTATTTTTCACTTTCAAAGTCCTACAGGAAGTGTGGACTCCTTTGTGAACCTTTTCAGGATATTTTTCAAATTATCCCCCGTCAGTGAAGTGCACTGGCTGCAGTCAGAGAGGAAGCGATGATGGGAAGAGAAATTCACTTATTCATGTGCCTTTCTTAATATGATTCTCAGGATGGCTCTAAAACCTTTGGAGGTCTGAATCCTCCTTGCATAATTCATAATTCCAAACCACACAAACAAGCAAACAAAAACACAAACCCTCTGTGGCATGGTTTCTTTCGATGACTTCTTTGGCATATGAACCACAAAGCAAAGGGAAACTAATAATTTTGCAGTCCATTTTCTAGGACAGCAAACAAAAATAGGAAGTCCTGAAAAAAAAATTTTAAACTTAAAAATAGGAAATTCTGTTTCTGGTTTGGCTGAGTAAGCTCCTTTTACAAAAGTCAACCATTCTGAATAATCTTCAGACAAAGTACAAAATCCAACTACCTGAGACAGTGGAAAGGGAACAAAAGAGGCCTGCTCAGGAGGGGCTGGGCACCTGGAAGAGGAGAGGGCATAGGGAGAGTGTCACGTGTTCCTGGCTTCTAACTTGAGGCCAGGCCATAGTCAGGGTTGTCTAGGATGGCCAAAAGTGCAATAAGTAAATAAATAATCCTACTCTTTCTGACCTGAATCATAAAATAGGGTTCAAGGCAACCACAGCTCCCAGAAAGTTATGGAGCCATCATAAAAAGGAGGGATCCAGAGATGGAAGACCCTATTTGTAGAATAAACTCCACCCAAATCATTGGCTGACCCAAAAGCCACTCAGGACAGCATAGCAGAGGGTTAAATAACAGAACTGAGCCTTGCTGAGCTGCTGTCCAAAAGACACTAGCAACTAGAGTCCAGCCAAGCAAATTACCAGCTTAAAAGAGGACAAACAAACAAATACTTTTGGAGGACTACTACAGAAACCAGTCTCCAAACACAACATTCATGATGTTCAGAAGACAATTTAAACTGACTTGACATACAGAAGTAACAGGGACATGTAATCTATTCTCAAAGGTAAAGACAGAGACCAAACCTGAGATAACCCACACAGCAGAACTAGCCGACAGGTTTTTTTCATGTGTGTTTTGTTGTAGTTGTTTTACAGTACTGAGGATCAAATCCAGGGTGCTTTACCACTGAGTGACATCTCCAGCCCTTTTTTTATTTTCAGACAGGTTCTCACAAAGAGACTGAAGACTGGCCTTGAACTTGTAGTCCTCCTGCCTCAGCCTCTCCAGTTGCTGGGATTACAGGTACGTGTTACATACCCAGTCAAATAGCGGTTTTGAAGCAGCTATAAAAATTATGACCAATGAAGTGAAGGAAACGATAGGGTATCTTAGCATATGAATAAAAAATATTTAAAAAGCACCAACTGAAAATCCTAGAATTGAAAAAAAAATCCCACAATTATCTGAAATAAAAATGAAAAAATGGAAGTCACTTTTCCTTCTTTCTTAGCAATTTTTTCTTTCTAAAATACTGACTGGATCCTAGTGGGGGAAAAAAAAGGTACTGGTCACAGACTACATATGTAAATTAAAGCTTAGAAAAGGGTCGCCTTGACTCTAATAGTCTCTTATTAAAAGACACAAAGGATTATTCTGTGAATCTGGTTCAGTTAAAAATTTTAAAGATAGGAAACTTCTATTTTTTTAGGACAAATTTTTTAGATAACTTAGGATCTATGTTATTTTATTTCATTAATATTTTAATGACTTTATAGTTCTAGTAAACCTGCAGAAGGTTGCAGACTATCAGATATAAATATCATGTGTTAAACTCACAGAGCATTTTAAAATTTGAATTTCTGGCTGACATTTTCAAATGAAAATTTTTCCCATTAAAGCCTGAATTTGGCTCTCAGTCCTGCAGGGCAACTATTACCCAGAGCTGAGCAGCGACCAGTGTCTGTAAATGGGAAGTGTCCTCTCAGTTTGGTCATAGCCCTTTTCTGTTCATGTAGAACTACCATTTATTTAACATGCTCATATAGTCTTAGGCTTGTGACCCCTGACTTCACCATGTCAGTAGGCAAAGCCCTCAATATCTAACCCATTCCACTTTTATAAATTTTTCTGTTTTCATATCCTCTAACAATACTCAACCCTTACAACCAACCATTCAAAGTATTCCCTGACTGCCAAATACAGCCACACAGTCCAACTTTGTGCATTCTGTCAAGTACCTCATTTAAGATCTAATCTATGAGACTGTGATTTTCAGAAACACTGTGTGGTATTATGATTTTCAGAAACAAAATGTTTCACACTTGTTACACATTGCATCGTCAGACCCAGGACTTCAAATTTAAGAAGGGAGGGATCTCATGTTTTTGAAGGGCTTTTCTTGATGCTTTCATTCAATCCCCACAATAACCCTGACATGTGATTATTATTTGCAATTTATAGGTACAGCGGTTGAAGCTCATAAAGTTTGCATGGCTAAAAGATGGTTACACAGGAATTCAAAGCTGAAGAGTCCCATTCTCCTATGAACCCCTCTGCCCTTTAAACTATCACAGAGCCCTCAAAATCATACATACCAGACTTAAACACATTAGTATGTAAATGGATAACTGTTTACAATCAAACTTAATATTTCAACCAAGCATCATCAGGAAACAGCAAATCGACACATGTGGTCACATGTCATTAGGCACCTCTCTTCGACTCTATCACTTTATTGACCTCATATCTTTAGTCCATTCACATTTAACATCTTCTACCTACTTTCCATTAGGGTGATGAAGGCAGGTATATATTCCACAGGGAAGAGAGAGGTGGGCAGTTCTCTGAAAAATGCTTTCAACATTACTGCAGCTTCTCTATGGCACATTTTGTCCCATTTAAATTTATCAGTATTAAACTTGGCATCCAGTTCTTCACGGTATTGCTGCAAATCAAGGAAGACAGCAATGAGATTTAGTGTGTTTTTACCATCTTTTATCCCCTTTGAAAACTATCATTAATTAAATTAGTTTTGTACATAGAATGATAAAGCACTATATACTAAGCCTTTTTTTCAACATGATTAATAGATCTGAAGTGACTGATTATGAATAAAATTTTAAAAATGTATTTGAGAATATTTAAAAAATAATGTTAATCTTGAACTAGACAAATATAAAAATTTTTTAGTTAGATCATAGTTTCCTTTCTGTGGTTTTGGCAGGAAACCACTATTCCCACATGATAAATGCACTGCTAGATTTTGACAAAGTCCCTATTCCCTTCTTTTCTTAATCCCTTCTGCCATCGTCACTTGTATTTCTAAAGTAGATCAGGAATGTGCACCTCTCAGCTAGTCCACATACAGAAGGAAAAATGTCCCAATAAAGTAACTCTGACCTCACTACACCATGCAGGCCAATGACATCTTCCTGGAGCAGTTACAGCAAAGTTTTATGCCAAGACACACACATGTCCTCCACATGTCTGCATGCCTGCCAAATCCTTCATAAGGTTTGGAGCACTGTGCAAATACTTCAAAAAACAAACAAAAAAGCACTAAGCCCTCAAAGGTTCTACTTGCCTTACAAGTTTTACATTATCAATTCATCTGATTATCAGTGCCACCGGTTCTCCATGTTTCTTTTCTAAAGTCAAACTCATCCTCTCCTGCTCCTTTGAACTACAAGGTTTACCTACTGTAACAGGCAATTAGTCTCCTGACTGACACTAACTTCTCCGAAAGGAATACTTTGAAAGAAACACTGAAAACCCTTAGAAGCCTAATTCTTCCAGCTTTGAACACACTCAGCCAAAGTCAGTTCACACATCTCACCTTTTCCTATCAAGAGCAGCTCATTAATATGCCAGGTACAGATGCTCTCATGGCTCCCAGAGTCTGTAAAATGGAGATCCTTCACATAACAAGTTACTTACAGAGATACATGGGATTGAGATCCACCCTCCAGTCCCTGCAAATGAGTCAAAGGAGATTTCTTATCCTGAAATCTAATAGGAATACTACAGCTAACCAAGTGGTCCTTTGATGATAAATACAATTATTCCAGTTGTCCTGGAATAAAGGATATCATGCAGCAGACTGGTTCTGGAAAAGAAAGATACAAGAAATCCACTCTTTGTCTTTAGGTGTCTTGTAGTACAGTGAAGGGGACCATTTCATGAACTGATAGTACTAATTCAGAATGTAAATGCTTTCATAAAGGTCACATATTGGCACCGTAACAGTCATCAGAGAAAGTAAACCAAACTGCTAGGGCCAAATCTTGAAAAACCTGATAGCAGAAGAGGACACAGAAGGACATGCTGGGTAGAAAGAATAGCTCAAGCGGTGACAGGTACTCATAGAGATCCAGTGTGCATGGAGAGTTGCAGATAGGTTAATGTTGCTGGAGTAAGGAATGAACCTGGGAAGCAGCCATGGCCACTCGGAAGGGGACAGGACTGCTTCCTGCAGTCAGTGAGGCAACTTGGGACATCTCTAAGCTGGAGAATGTCAAGGTGAAATTCATTGTTGATGACATCCAGACTGAAAAAATTATTTGAGGAATGAGGGGTTTGGTACAGGTTAGGAGAAGGCAAAAGAAGTAAAGAGTCCAGTTATGAGGCCATACACCAAAGGACAATTACCAAGCAATTGTAATTAGAAAGAATAGAGGCTATTAAAGAAATGCCTAGGAGGGGAAACGCAGGCAGGTGCAAATATTGTTAAAAGAAAAAACAAGAGGAAGAGCAAGAGTTTTCCATCAGTTGCCTAGTACTCCTACTGTAATGCAAGGGGCAACTGTTCTTCAAGAACAGAACAATTAGGATTCGTTTTCCACAAATCTCTGCAAAAGGAACCCATCTAATGTGACTCTCCTAACCTGCAAGTGTTCTCAGGTCACCTAAGAGGCAATAATGCACCAAGGCCAAGGGCATTATAATAAGATCTCTGAAGTTCTTATCCCAACAACCCCACCAACTGATCTGTATGGCCTATGCTTCAAGATTCTCACTAATATGATAGGGGTATTAAAATGATCTTCTTACCTCAAATAGCCAGAACTATCTTGAATGGAAAGAACAAAGTTGGCATTACACTAACTGACTTCAAAATAACTGCAAAGCTATAGTTATTAAAACAGTATAGCAAGACAAAAGAAATCCCAAAAAACAGCACAGCATTGAAATAAAATAAACATATGGACCAATGGAACAGAGAGCCTAGAAGTAAGCCACATACCTACAGCCAACTGATGATCAGCAAAGGAGCCAAGAACATGCACTGAAGAAATGACAGTCTTCTAATATATGGTGCTGGGAAAATTGGGTATCCACATGCTGAAGAATGGAATTGGATTTCTACCTTTCATCGGTTACAAAAATCAACTCAAAAATGAATGAAAAATGAAATGTGAGAAATGAAACTACTGAAAGAAAGCATAGGAGAAATGCTTTGGGACACTGGAATGGGCAAGGATTTTGTGGACAAGACCCAGGAAAAAAAGCAAAAATAGACAAATGAAATTACACAAACTAATAATGCTTCTTCTCAGCAAAGGAAACAATCAACAGAGTGAAGACCACAACCTACAGAACGGGAAAAAAATATTTGAAAACTATACTTCTGACAAGGGGTTAATGTTCAGAATATATTATGTAAGAAGTCTAAAGACTCATAACAAAAAACAAACAAAATCCAAGCCAATTAAAAAATGGGCAATAGACCAAAATGGACATTTCTCAAAAGAAGACATACAAATGGCCATAATATATATATTAAGAAAAAAATTTCAATGTCACTAATCATCAGGGAAAGGCAAAAAACCATGGTGAGGTATCACCTCATTCCAATAAGAATAGCTGCTATCAAAAAGACAAAAGATAAGAAGTGATCTAGTCTGTTGGTGACACTTTCCTTTCAACAATAGAATGGAGAGAGACCCTGTGCCTAATAGAAGAAAAAGTAGGCCCCAATCTTCATCATGTTGGCTTAGGACCTGACTTTCCTAACCAGATTCCTAAAGTGCAAGAAGTAAAATTAAGAATTATTTTTTTATTCCAGTCTGGAATCAATAAATGGGATGGATTCAAACAGAAAAGCTTCTTCTTAGCAAAGGAAACAATCAATAATGTGAAGAGAGAGCCTACAGAATGGGAGAAAATCTTTACCATATGCATCTCAGATGGAGCACTAATCTCCAGGATATATAAAGAACTCAAAAAACTTACCACCAAAAAACAAATAACCCAATCAATAAATGGGCCAAGGAACTGAACAGACACTTCTCAGAAGAGATACAATCAGTCAACAAATATATGAAAAAATGTTCAACATCTCTATCAATTAGAGAAATGCAAATCAAAACTACTCTAAGATTTCATCTTACTTCAGTTAGAATGGCAATTATCAAGAAAACAAGCAACAGTAATTGTTGGCGAGGATGTGGGGAAAAACGTACACCCATACCTTCCTGGGGGGACTGCAAATTGGTGCAACCATTCTGAAAAGCAGTATGGAGATTCCTTAGCAAACATGGAATGGAACCACCATTTGACCCAGATATACCTCACCTTGGTTTATACCCAAAGGACTTAAAATAAGCATACTACAGTGACAAAGCCAAATCAATGTTTATAGCAACTCAATTCACAATAACTAAACTATGGAACCAACCTAAATGCCCTTTAACAGATGAACGGGTAAAGAAAATATGGTATATATACACAATGGAATATTACTCAGCCTTAAAGAAGAATGAAAGTATGGCATTTGCAGGTAAATGGATGGAGCTGGAGAATATCATGCTACGTGAAATAAGCCAAACCTAGAAAATCAAATGATGAATGTTTTGTTTGATAAGGGGATGTTGGATGCTGATCCCTAATGGGTGAGGGGTTGCTAAAGAAGAATGGAGAAACTCTGGATTGAGCAGAGGGGAAGGGAGGGAGTAGGGGGATGGGAAGGATTGTGGAATGAGATGGACATTATTACCCTATATAAATGTATGACTGACTGCATGACTGGTGTGACTCTGCACTTTGTACAACCAGAGGAATGAAAATTGCTCTATCTGTGTACAATGTGTCCAAATGCATTCTGCTGTCATGAATTAGAAGAAATTTTTAAAAAGAACCAAGTAGGAGGTAGTTTTAAAAAAAACAAAATAAGAAGCATTGGCAAAGACATGAAAAGAAAGGAAACCCTCCTGCACTGTTGGTGGGAATGCAAACTAGTACAGCTGTTATGGAAAACAGTGTGGAGCTTCCTTGAAAATTTAAAAAATACAACCACCATATGATCCAGCCATCCCACTATGGGTATGTGTCCAAGGGAAAGGAAATAAGTTTTTCAAAGAGACAGTGGCAAGCCATTCATTGCAGCACTATACACAACAGCCAAGAAAGGGAAACTAACTAAAGTGTCCACCGACTGATGAACGGATAAGAAAATGCAGTTCAGACCCACCATGGAATACGATTCAACCATAAAAAGAATGGTTGCTCCCTCCTCCTAGGTCTATTCCAGTCTTCAGGGTCAGTCCTACAGGAATCTATGCATATAAAGCGTGATTGTTTGGGCAACGACACCACATGATCTATTGTCTAGATGGCTAGTGTAAAATAACACCAAGAGAAAGATCGTCCTCTTCCGATTTTGACCAGAGCAGGCTAGAGGGTATATGACATTTCCACGGTAGCCCTAAATATGAAACCACATAAACCAGATGTGAGTTTACTTGGCCTCAAACAGGCAGGGAGCACCTGGAGGGTGTAGAAGTCAATTTTCCTGTCAACTGTTAATGAGACCAGAGGCAAGGGTTGGAATTCAGGTTCTTAAATCTCCTTGGAGCAGAAATACAACCTGCTAAAATTTAGTTTTCATACAAATGCCAATGACTAGCCTGCAGCCACCAGCTCAGGAAGAGAAACTAACAGGCCAGGTAATGTAACTATAGAGCATTTAGTGCTGCCAGGGAATAATGGAAATGAGTCAAAAAAAAAAAAAAAAAAAAAAATAGAACCTCACATGTCAAACTGTCTGCCTTCTTCCATAAAAAAATATACTCCCCAGTGTTTGGCTCAGATTTCTGCCATGTTTTTAAAAGAAAATCACTGAACACACCAAAGCAATAAATTGGATCCAAATGACCTGCAGCCTCCAACAGGGGAACTGGCCTTGCATTTTTGTCTCTGTTTGGCTAAAGCCTTGCAACTTCTCAAGGCTGCCTCCCTGTCAGTCTTATTAAGTGTTTAAAACACAAAGCCAGGCTGGGTGTTCAATAGTGAAGCCTCAAATAGTTGCTGTCTTTTACTGGCACAAGGTGAGGCTCATTACAGTAGAATTTAAAAAAAAAAAAAAACTTTCTCCAAAGCACATTCCTAGAAAATGTAGTACAGTGGCTGAGGAAGGAAGGAAGGAAGGAAGGGAAGAAAGAGGTAGTTTGAGGTTTGAATTGAGGAGAAAGAATAAAAGCCTCTGTAGTACGTCAAGTTTCAATGCCTTTCTAACTGCAGTACTTTCCTTTTTTTGCTCACTGGCCCAGATTCCTTTTGCATTGGTTTCTTGGAGCCTGAACCATGAAAACATCTGGATTACATTTTTCGGACTAACAAGCAGTAGAATAAATAGGCTGACACTACATAAAACCGATTAGGATAGAAAAGGGACTTTGACCTAAATGTGGTTCAGGAATGCATTTGCCTGTAAGAACACTCTGAAGGAACGATTAGCCTTTGATAAACATTTTTCAGTCAAAGACTAGCTCAAGAAAAATATCTTCTGCTATAAGGTTAAACTTGTTGCACATAAGAGATATCCTATATTTTCTTCCATTGGTTATTGAGGAAAAAGAAAACTAGATCTTATCCATTGTGCTTCTCACAAACTCACCTGTGTATGCACGCGCGCGCGCGCGCACACACACACACACACACACACAGCAGCCAGAATATATGTAAACGTAGCTTTCCAATGGGAGTCTGATTTTGTTGAGGAAATTCATTTTGTTGACTTTATTTCAGGTCTCTAACTCTGCTGGTAACCACAGATTTAACCAAAACTAGTAACAGTTTCCACCTTCAGATACAGGATACATTTATTCAGAAGTGAATCTAAGAATCAGTCATTTGAGAAACAAAGGCAAAAAGTAGATGGAACTTGGAAAGCATAACCCTAAGGAGCCATTAGAAACTCACCTGCCTTCCACGTGAAGCTATATTTAGCCAACTCCAACAGGGAAGTCAAAACTCCCAATATACTTTAATCCCTGACATCACTGTCAATGGCCTGGTACTGGGCTCAGATCTCCCTTCAAAAGAGAATTGGCCACATGCATCTGCAAAACATTCAGGCAGCTGACTCTCCAGGCGGTTGGCCCCTTCTCTGCAGGAAGCCCAGTCCATGGCAGGGCAGGGCACCTAACGGGAGGAACTGCCAGGCCTGCACTGTGGCCTGAGGCTCACCCTGCCCAATCCTGCTTCCTGCCCTCTATAAAGGATAACCTTCAGAAGCACTATCCCTTAGTACAACTCTCTTCCACTGCTAATCCCTCTTAGCATCTGCTCTCTAGAGGATCAAAAAGACATGCTATTTACTCTGTTTCCACTTAAAAAAATCTTGTAACACTTCTTTATAAAAAGTCCTGAGACTTCTGGATACAAAACAGAATTTCCCCAAACAGGTACCAAAATGAATTAATGAAGACACACCTTTCTGTTTCTATGCATTTCCTTGGAATAATTCTAACCACAACTAAATTCATTTTTGCCTTCCCCTGAGACTTTTTTCTCAGAGGTTCATTATTTAATATCCACCAACCAGGGCTGATCCCAGCACAAGGATGAATTCTTCATCGTGTGTGCCCATCAGAAGATGCAGTGGGATACTTTACTGGAAATTAATGACAAAAGCTTTTTCTTTTCAATGATTCTTCCCCTTACTCTTTTGTAGAGTTCGCACTTTTATAGAAGTAAGAAGGCAAGGTAAAAGGATGCACATGGCTTGAGGGGTGTCGTGCATGGACACTGACATTACCATAAGTGGAACTGGGTTTTAGAACTGCAGTGTTATGACCATGGCTACAAATTCTCACAAGAAATTCAACTAAAAGGAAAACCAGTGAATGTCTCTAAGCTTAAAGTAACTGGAAATGGAAAGAAGGGCAGGCTCCCATGTTGTTGGCTTAGTGACTTTCATGACAAAAAGGAACCCAGCAAGCTGACGTGGCTAACTCAGAACAGGGATGAGCATTTTGACTTTTCAAACTGAAAATAGGCAGTGTTTTTTGATGTATTGTTTTGTTGTTACAGTTTATTATTATTAATGTTGTTTAATTTAAAAGGATCATGAAACAAACACATAATCATAGGTACCAAGGAATATTAGGAAGAGCCAAATGATCGTATCAAGTAAATAACGACATCAACAAAGACTAAATTCCCAAAGCTCCTTTGGGCTGGATCTAACTAGCTTTGATTTCTAACAAGGAACAGAAAATGTTAGGTACCTTGACTTTGGCAGTACATCCTGAAAGTCGAAAAATTCCTTCAGATTCCAGACCTGATTCCTCGACTTTCTCAAAAAACTAGAAAGCAATGATATATTACAAAAATAAGCACCTCTATAGGATTATAAACATCTGAAATAGTGATGATAGCAATAATCAACATATTGAGCACGTACATGCAACTGGTACTTGACTACTGTGTTAACTATTCTTGACCACTCTAAAAGGTCAAAATAATCCTCCAATTAGCAAATGAGCAAATGGTGATTTTGAGTCCTTACATAACTTTCCCAAGATCAAGCTCCAAGAGATGGCACTGGCTCTCCCAAGCTTTGTTTCTTAACCAGTATAATATGTTGTCACTTAACCATTTTAAGATTGAACTTCTACTATATCTCCTCTTCTGAAGACTGATCAGTGAGAAAAGATTCTAAATCTTTGTAATCACCCTGGCTAAGACCCTATGGGACTTGCAGATATCTGACCAAGAAGTTAGGGATTTCAAAGGTTAATCACTCTCATGAGTTCTCTCAGTGGTGATGGTTGCTTTAAAAAAAAAAAAAGTTATAGGATCACTACTTATTGTGTATTGCAGCTCAGATACTAATCTCAGCATTTTACATATATTACTTTATTTAATTCTGGCAATGATTATATAAGGTAGATACTATTATTTTCTTCATTTTACTACTGAGAAAACTGAGGTACAGAAAAGTGAAACTTCACACAGTGAAAGGAGAATCCAGTGTCTTTATCTCCTTTAAAGAAAGGATGGCACTTGGAACTAAAGTAGTTCTTTTAGGTACAAAGAGAAACAGATATTCAGGAAGAAAAAACCCGAGAAAGAAACGACGCTCCTTTAAGAGTGAAAGAGGGCAACCTCAAATTGTCTTAAATGAGAAATGCTTAACATCAACAGTAATAACATTTATTGAGTGACTAATGTGATAAAATTCCAGACTGCCTTTAACTAGCACTTCTTGAGCGCCTTTTGTTTGCTACCATTTGCTAAGTTCTGTGCTAGGTTTTTGTGCTTACATAACAACATAAATTTAAGTGTTGAGTCTTCTCAGATTTCCATGAATTTTTCTTTGAACTCTTTCCTTTACATAGAGGAAAAAGGGCATCATATAGTTTTCATTCAAAGCAGGGAAGAAAATCGTAAGAGTCACCATGAACTATGGGCCTGAATCCATACTGTGTTCCTTCTTTTCCACGCTGCTCTTGCTGGCTGTGTGATCTTGGGTAAGTTATTTCACCTTCCTATGCCTCAGTGGCCTCAATTGCAAAAAGGAGATTAACAACACTGATCTCCTTAGGTTGCTTTGGGCTGACTCAAAGGATATTATGTGGATAACAATGGTGCAGCCCTGCCGGGGAGAGGTGGTTGTAGATGGGCCCTGTGCACAGAGGTGTCACCAGTGTACTCTGGCTATTTATCTGACTGTTCCCAAACTCAAATTTAAGTCCCCAGATTTAAGAGAGAATCTCAATTTGTGGCATTGGTAGCAAAATATAGGAAGACAAGAAGAGGGATGAAGAATTGTTAGTGTGAGTAAAGTAACTATAATTCTTCAGTTTTATATATATATCATTCAAAAACATCTTAAAATTCAACAAGATTTGTGTTGAGGGCTTGGAATTTTAATTGTGCCACTGGATGTCACTGTTGAATAAATGCATACTTAGGTAAATCAGTGTGAATTGCTGCCTATTAGACAAGAACATAACTTAAAAGTAAATCAGCTATTTAGCAAGGGTAGTTACAACAGAGATACTTGCATAATAATCTAGAGATCAAGTATCTTCTTCTACCAAAATTCTTCTCATTGTCTAAAAGTATCCTATCTGCCCAGTCATACCTGGAAAACCACTAGAACAAGATGATTTTTAAAGTCTATTAAACTTTGTTTGAAAAATTTATAAAATGATCACACACACAGTAATTCTTAAAAATCTAGTCTATGATATATCTTAGCAAATATTCCATAAATATACTAAAATAGTAATTAATTATCAGCTTTATCTGACAGAATGAATATACACACACATACATATGGACAATTTACATTTGAAAAAATATTGGAAAAAACAAAACTGTGTCCATCCTCTGATGTTCTGTGGTCAGACAGTGTCTAACAGGCAAGGCTGCTGGTGGTGGATGTGGTTTATTCCCCAAGGGTTTAGTACTAGAAGCGTGGTCCTTAGTGTGGTGATCTTGAGGTGGAGGAACCTGTAAGAGGCAGAGCCTAGTGGGAGGTCATGACTGCCCCTCCCTCTCCCTGGCTTCTGCTCTGACCATGTGAGCTCTCCTTCTCACACACGCTGCTACCAGTGTGGTACCACCCTCCACAAGGTCAGGCAGCTCCGGGGAACTTCCCTAGAGCTGGTCTTTCAGCCTCCAAAATACTAAACTAAATAAACTTCTTTTCTTACAAGTACCCAGCTTCAGATATTTTGTTACAGTAATGGAAAGCAGATAATAGGAAGACCAACTGTTCTCAATGCTTACAGGCCATCGTGAGGCTACCTGGAACAAGTAAAAAATTGCCAAGGGTCTCATTCCTAATAGGGTTCAGTGTCTTTCAACCTAAAGGAAAATTCATTAGTGGGTTTACAAAGTCCTCAACCATAAGCACAAGGCTCTCTTCCCTCCTCATTCATTCATTTGCGTTCTACTCACTTTTTGTAATACAAGGGGAACTTTCACTTCAGGGTCTTTCTTTCTGTCATTGTCCAGGAGGACTGTAAGTGGAACTCCAAAAATCCCATTGTCTTCAATGTCACACAGTCACGAGAGAAAGAAAAATAAATAAATAAATAAAATCAGAAAAGTACTGTCTTATTCTAGCATGTCAGTATTAAAAACCAAAGCCATCTGTCTCCTAAGTTACCTCGTCCTTTTACTTTCTCTGTTTTGTTTCTTTTCAGTTGAATTCCAAATGCATCAAAAAAGGCAGTCAATTCAATCAGAGAGAGATGGCGAATTTTCTTCATGTCCTCAGCAGACAGGTCTCCTGCTTCGGTTAAGCCAAGTCTGGTTTTCTGAACAGTGAGTTTCTGAAATAACACAGTGAAGATATTTATTTTTAATGGCAAAGGAAAATTATACTTTCACTCAGATACCACCCAGACACTCTAAACCTATAGAAGAAAACATGCAAAAAGCTCTGAAGAGCATACTGCATCATAAAAATATTATGAGTATGTTTTGAGAACATTTGCAGATCACTATTATGCTAACTAGAAGCAAAACAGTAGTCTGAAGTCCATGATAACAGTGCTATCATAACTGTGGAAATGGCCCTTTAAAGGCAACATGCTGTATTGTCAAGCAACACACATGTCAAGCATCACATGGAATGTACCCACTGTGGGTCCTTAATCTGGATTACATGTGCCACACACAAGCAAAGAACACAACTAAGTGTAGCACAGGAGAGATCTGGATTTTTTTTTTTTTGACAATAAATCTCCTTGATTTAGGATTCGTGTATGCTATACTGCATACTTAAAAAGAATTAATAGTCTCCTAATCAAGTTTTGCTTAAAAACCATATTTAGATGATTCCAAATTCTTAAAAAAGAAAAAATTCCAGAAAATACAACTAATCTTACTATGTCTTACTTTTGAAGACAATGATACTGTTATGTTATTCATTTCTACACTAAGAGAGGAAATACACTAAATTAATAACCACAAATCTTAATAACCTAGAAATGTTGTGAAGACTCTAAGGAGCAAGCAAAAGATCATTCATATATAACATCCACAGGTATGCTTTGCTCTCAGAAAATGTGGTATTGAAAAGTATGGTGAAGTAGAAAAATCCTACAGTTATTTAAATTATAAAGCCTCAAGAACACAGTTTCAGGTTCCCTATATTGGAGCTTTTGGGGGTTATTAAACTATATACCCATTCATTCATTCATTAACAATTTTTTCACTCGAACCCCAAGTTTATGTTTGCATGCATTTATATTGTGGTGCTGAGGGCTGAACCCAGGGCCTCATACATGCTAGGCAAGTACCACCACTTATATCCTCACCCAGAACTTTAAGCATTTAAAAGTAAAACCATATGTAGGATGTGCTTTAGGGCATATCTTGTGCTATTAGCAGTTGGTTATTTCACCTTCTTCTTGAAACCAAGGAAGGTCTGGTAGGCTTAGGAGGCTGAATCAGGAGGATCACAAGTTCAAAATCAGCCTCAGCAACTTAGCAAGATCCTGTCTTCAAATAAAATATATTAAAAAAAAAAAGAGACTGGGGATGTGGCTCAGTGGTTAAGTGCCCTTGGGTTCAATTCCTGGTACAACAAAACAAAACAAAAAAATAGTAATACATAATAACAACAATATAAATAAGAACTGCACTCATTTATTGAGCAACTACTGTGTATTAAACCCTATGTCAAGTTCTTCCTAGGGGTCTGACCTATACCCTGAATGAGCCAGACCTCAGAAAGAGACAACTTTGATGAGGAAACCTAGGAGCAATATTCTCTCTTGGAGACCCTTCTGTAACAAAAAGGAAGGACTGTCCTTGAAATCGGACTACTACATAGGCTTCCTTTTCTGTTGCATTCTGCCCTCCCTTATGAAGATTGCTTAGGGACCAGAAAGGGTTTGGAGTTTGACACATTTTAGGCTTTAAATATGTTCTTACAGGGCTTTGGGCATGTTACTTAGCCTCCCTGGGCCTCAGTGTTCTCATTTGTAAAATAGGAGTAATCAATAGGGTCCACTATACAACTAGAACACGTGGCGCAGTGTCAAGCCTGTGGAGGTTGCTCAGGGAGTCTTAGAGCGTTTCCCGTTCCTCTTCTTCTCTCCCTCATGGGCCAGTTGTCTGGGTATGGTCCAGGCTGACTGGTCCAAAAAAAATCTATTTCCAGATGACATTCCTTTAGTCCTGAAACTGCCCAAGTCCTGCTCATCATGCCTCTATCCCTGATAAAAAGAGAATATTCAGGACGCCACATCATGAACTCTTCATATAGGCATTATTTATTGAACAGTGAATACATCAATGTAATATAGCTCTGTGGTAGGTTTTCAGGATAGACCACTCTAGGTGTGTGTGTGTGTGTGTGTGTGTATGTGTTATCAGTTCTGTCTATCATGTAGTAATATAAATTCCTGAATTGGGTTTGGTAAGCTTCAGTGTCTGTCTGTCCTATGAGCTCTACTTCTTATTGTTATGACTATAACTTTCTGCTGTACTCACACCCCCTTTTTTTGTAGTTATATATGGACAGCATACCTTTATTTTATTTGCTTATTTTTAAGTGGTGCTAAGGACTGAACCCAGTACTTCACACATACTAGACAAATGCTCTGCAACACAGCTACAGCCCCAGCCCTGTGCCCCCTTGTGATATGTGATTTATAGAGATAAAAATACATATAGTTAAGGTGTGCACTGACTTATATGTGAATTAAGAATATGAAGTGCAAGAAAACTCACAAACCAGGTGAAAAATCCACTTCATCTGTGCTATAGTATGGATCTTGAATCTACCCCCAAAGTCCCATGAATTAAAGGTCCCCAGCCTGTGGTGCTATTGATGTGTGGTGGAAACAGTAGGAGGTGGAGCCTAGTGGAAGAAAAGTAGGTCATTGGGGGGAGGGTGTCCTTGAAAGGGACATTAGAGCCCTGGCCCTTGCTCTTTGATCTTTGCTTCTTGAACAGCATGGAGTGAGCATCTCACTCTACCGTGTGCTTCTGCCATGATGGTCTGCCTACCCACAGGCCCCAAAGCAATGGGCCTTCTAACCACAAACTAAAACCTCCCAAACTGTGAGCCAAAATAAATCTTTCTTATTAAGTTGATTTGTCTCAGACATTTATCACAGTTATGGGAAGCTGACTAAAAACAACCTGTCAAGCAGTATTCAAACATATGTATTCATAACTTTTTTCAACCCAGGACTGCTAGGTACACCCAGGCGAACTGTGCACTACATAATAAATAGTCCCCAAAATGGTGGTATGCAATGCTGAAGCCCACTCTTCCCAGTCTCCTTGAGCATATTCAGACATTAAAAAGAAAATAATCCTTGTTTGGGCTCATGGAACAGAAACAGGAAGTTACTAGAATAACCATGAAAGGTTTGACTTACAGTTAAAGCATAGTCTTCTTTCTTAATCTCTGACTTCTTAGATCTATTTCTTTTTGGAGCCTCTGTAACCATTTCTGAATAAGATACTTCAAAGGACACCTCTTCAGTCTCTGCTGGAATGTCCTTTTCCAGATAATCATCTAGAGAAACAAAAGATACAGAATATTTAATATGCCACTTAATCAAGCAGTACCATGTACTGGAAAATAAGCACAAAATATTCACAAAACTACCCACAGCACATCAGTTAAGTAATGCTGTGGTGTCATCAGCTTCCACATGAACAGATTTCTACTGTTATCCAAATGAACTTTCAATATAATCTTATTTTTCAAATTTTAGACTTTTATGTCTCATGAAAGTTTTTGAGGATTAGCCCCCAAGCAGGGTATTTCTATATATTCCTGTGATATTGAAATTAAGCCCATCCAGACCCACTGTCACTTACTGGAGAGTCAGAAGCTTGAAGCAGAGGAAGAAAGAAGAGATTCTGGAATTCCTCTCTACTTTTACTTCTTCCTCTTCTTATTTTTTTTTAACTGTGAAATATTTGCCTCTTAAGATGTGTTCAAATTGAATTTGGACTTCACTGCAAGGTGTGTTCAGATGAAATAATCTGAATTTCTTTATTTGATGCTGGTTACCTGACTTTGTATGATACACATTAAGAAGAAGTCTGCTGAGTAATATATATATATATATATAATGCCCTACAGAATTGCTTTTCTCCAGCTAGTCTGAAAATTAGGACAGAAGATTCCTTGACCCAGAACAAAGGAATCCATAAATTATGTGAGCAATCCCATCCTCTGATTATTGATTGATTTTGGCTTGTCATCTTGTTTCACTACCTGGCAAAACTGTTTATGTGCAAAGTAATGATTTATTTGATTACAAAAAGAACTCATTCTCTTTTGCCCTCTTCTATAGACACTGACAATTTGACAAACTGGAACAAAAAGGAACAAAAGGCAGAATTAATGGAAGACCTGATTAATTTTACATTAAAATTTTACATTAAAATTTGGAAACCCAGTAAATGGGTGTGCCATGAATTTCAAAAATGACAAAGTTGTTTTTATTTGTCATATGGAGGCTTGCCCTCAAAATAGAGGTAGAAAAAATATTAAATAATACTCTAACCTCTTAAGGATAAATGGACAAAGTCTTTGGAGAGCAGCAATTAAACAGGCCAATTCCTCAAAACCAGAGGACCACTGCATACTGATGTTTCTTTTAGAGGCATAATTTGAGCTAGGTTACCATATGGCATTATATACAAATAAATAATAACAAATAAATAATTTCTGGAAATACCTTCTCCTTGATTTGTTTTGTGACAGCTTTATTGAGATACTATTCATGTGCCATGAAATACATCACTTAAAGTGGACAAACCAATGGTTTTTAGCACATTAGTGTTGGACAATCATCATCGAGTCAGTTTTGGAACATTTCATCAACTCTATTTCTTTGAATTGTGATGGGAATGCTGAAAGTACAGGCTGTTTTTAGAAGATGATTGCACATACTTCCGGAAAACTTTGAGCAATCACAAAAGTACATGGCCCTCAAGAGCCTGTTTCCATCTATCAGGTGGATTTCAGATTCCATTCTGAGCCATGTAGGGAGCTCACCTCTCAGAAAGAAAAGACCCAGATAAAAGCTACCGCTGTAATCCTGTATGTTGCTAGCTGCTCAAAAAACGTGTTCCTGAGCAGTAATTAGGGAGTCTTGGAAGTGGCCTGCTTCCTGGTTTTCCTGCAACTGCTGGGCAGAGGCCTCAAGTCAAAGACACTGCTTAAGTGAGGAGTTTCTAAATTGGTGATAATTGGCTGGTGATAGAGGAGGAAGAAACTCTGCTTCCAGCATGGCTATTAGTTTTGTCTTCTGTGACAGAATCAAGTGTTGGAAGGTGAGAGGAAAGAGAGAATACTGGAAGCAATAGAATAATAATGGGGAGAAAAACATACTTTTTTGCTTTTAAAAATTCACTACTGGGAGGAAGAGGGATGGGGAAAGTTGGTCGATGGGTACTAAGTTGCAGTCAGGAGCAGGGAGTTCTGGTGTGCTATCATATGGTAAGGTTTCTAGAAAAGATGATAATGAACTGTAAATTCCAAAAAAATTTTAAGAAAGGAGTTTGAAAGTTTTCACCACAAAGAAATGATGTTTGGGTGACAGTCTATTTAACCTGATGGAACCATTACCCCATGTATGCATATATTGAAACATCACATGGTAACCCACTAATAAGTATACTGTTTTATGTATTTATATATTGGTATAAAAATAAATGTATTAAAAGTAACAGTTAAAAAAGGAAACTCACTACTGTGTCAAGTTCCCAAACACAAGTGAGAAGACACAGCTTAAGTTCAATAGGTGATCATGTTACTCACCACTCAATGCACTATGAGCTGACTGCCCCACATCTGCAGACCCATTGGAATGAACTGGTACATCTGGAATAGCCTCCAGTATGGACTGCTAAGCAAGGGAAAATGAGCACAGAACATTATACCACAAATATAGGCTACCCATCATTTCACTCTGACTCACGTAAGAGTTCTTTTCACACACACAAAGTTCTTGATTTCATAGCTGGTCTGCATTAATTTTCATTGTCACTGCATTCAGTTTAGATGTGTTCCATTTGGGTTTCTCAAAATGGAACAGTGTCAAGGTCAATATAAGCCTGCTTTCTTAGCTCTTCAATATTTGCTATTTAACCTTTGCTAAGATATACAAATTATAAAACTTGACGTCATACAACTTGGAAATTATTTGATTTGCTAATCTTGATGCATTTGTCTTTATTAAGTATATTACAAATATTAACAGGTTAATTCTCTCACTGCAAAACACACAGACAATAAAAAAATTAAGTATCTTTTCTAATTTTGTTTCTCTTCTTAATCAACTTAGTACTTTCTTCACTGAAATCCTGTCAAAGCATTTAACTTGGCTGCAATGTCATCAGAAGTTGAGTATCTCTTTGTTCAGGTCCAGTTGGATATGTGAAAAATTTACACAGAAATTCTAACAAATTCTATAAATTTTCATGTGAGAGTTATCTGTGAATTATGTGTGACAATGAAAATCTCCTATTTGGTCAAGAATTTTTTGTATGATATTCACACATAAAATCTGTTCTTTTTGTCCCCTAGAGCTTGATGTTGTTTCTTTTATTCTCATATTTATTTTGCAATAACTGAACATCTGTTTCATAAAAGATCCTTTATCATGTTTTCTACAAATCACACAAGGGAGTCTCAAATTCTGAGCCTGATATTCTCTTTCATTTCAAAGGAGCTTATATACTTTTAATTGTATAAATAGATTGCCAATTATTAAAACACAGGTGCCCAAATACTGTAATGAACGGGAATAAAGACAAAAAAGTCCAAAGGCTATATAAGAGCTATGTAGTTCACTGTCAGATTTGTAGTGGCTCTAAAATCTACAACATAGAATAAAGCTTATTTACTGTTATAGTTTAGATCTGGAATCTCCCCCTAAAGTCCCAAGTATTAAAGGCTTGGTCCCCAGCTTAGAGCAATTAGGGGTAGTGGAACCTTTAAGAAGTGAAGCCAAAATAGAGGGCCATAGGTCAATGGGGGAGTGCCCATGAAGGGGATATTAGGAACTTGATCCCTCCTCTTCCTCTCTTCTCTGCTTCCAGCTGCCAAGAGGGAAGTGCCTTGCTCTTCTGCGCACTCCAGCCAGGATGTGTTGCCTTGCCACAGGCCCCAAAGCACTGGGACTGACAGACTGTGGACTAAAACCTCTAAAATTGTAAGCTAAATAGACCTTTCCTCCTTCTAAGTTGATAATCTCAGGATTTTGTTGTCATAATAGAAAGCTGACTAATGTATCCACATATGAAAATCCTTGAAAAGATGGGGACAACTTTTCAGTGGTTTCCTAAAGTTTTCCAACAAAGAAATGCTTTGTCAGCCTTAAAATGACTCCCTGGTGGGAGGGAAGACTCTTTGGAAAATTGAGAAACGTTTAATTTATTGATGCATTTGAGAATTTATTGAGAATTTAAAGCTGAAGGCTTAGGATGCTTAAACTCACTGAATTGTTAGTTTCTTAATCTGTGGAGAAGAGTCCATCTACTCAGTGTAATCGGCCTCTAGCCAGCCTATTGTACTGATGACTGTCTGTTCTTTGTAATATAAATTACTGTGGGGCAGAAGTTTGAGTCATAATGCCTCCTCTTGGACCACTTACAATGAGGAGGACAGAATAACACATAGGGAACACTATTAGAAGACACACAATCCACTGTTAAGAACTTATTTCTATAAAGTATAAGTATTATTGGAAAATGATTCAGAGGGAAGAGGAGCTGCCCAGAAGGTTTTTGTGGATGAAGTGGTCGAACCTGAGCTTGAACCAAGGGACAAAGAAAAGGACTTACAGAGGCAGAGGACAGGGAAAATATTCAGGCCAGAAACAGAAGAATAAATTTCAGACATGGACAAAGCTGAAGTGTTTCAGCACAAGGATCATGGAGAGCAGGGTACTCCAGGAGTTGAGTCATAGTATTAGATAAATATAAGAGAGAAATTAATCAAAAGGATCAGCTCCAATTATGGAAGGGGCTAAAAGCCAAACAGAAACCCTGGGACTTAGAATCATAAGAGTTAAAAATAAAACAGAAAAAACAAAGGAGCTCTCTGCTATTTATTTATTCATTCATTCATTCATTTTTGCACTGGGGATTGAACTTAGGGGTACTTAGCCACCGAGCCACATCCCTACCCCTTTTTCATATTTTATTTAGAGACAGGTCTTGCTAAGTTGCTTAGGGCCTTGCTAAGTTGCTGAGGCTGACTTTGAACTTACAATCCTCCTGCCTCAGTTTCCTCAGCTGCTGGGATTATAAGTGTGCACCACCACAACCAGCAGCCCTCTCCTTTTAAAATCACTCAGTGAAAATGGAGAAGGAAGATGAGCCTGCCCACAAAGGGTCCTTGAGTTTTGAAATAGGTCAAGTAGAGAGGCTAGATGCTTAGCATTTATATGGTTATCCCTCAAGATTCACGGGGGACTGGTTCCAGGAGCCCCTATGGATATAAAAAAATCATGGATACTCAAGTCCTTTCTATAAAATAACCTACATACCTCTTTCTGTATACTTAAAATCATCTCTAGATTGCTTGTATATTTGTACTAGTACAATATAGGTGCTATGAAAATAGATGCTATGCTATATGTCTTAGGGAACAATGAAAATGGAAAAACATTTGGACATGTTCAAGATAAATGCAACTTAAAAAATATATCTGATCTGCAGTTGGTGGAATCTGCTGTTACATCTATTTATTTTAATAGACGCTGGATGATCATTTGATATAATGCACACTCCATTCCAGATTAAACAATTGCAAGTTTTAAAACCAAGAAATATTTTACTTAGTGATGAGACATTAGAAGAAAAGTTCTAATTTTTTTAAGAGGTAGGCATGGCCTTTGGTGAGCTGATCTGGAAGAAAAAAATTTCTAAAGAAAAAGAAATCTTGCATGTAGATTTTTATGAGTGTGAACTCACTGTAACAGATTTTTAAAACAAACCATAGAAATAGACCCTTAAAAAAGTGGGGATTTTACTTATCTTAATAAAGGTGGCATCTCAAATATGTAAAGAAGATTACAGATTGAGGGAAAAAAAGGTACTAGTCAAGTTGAGGCATATTTTTGGGAAAGATAAAGTCAGATTACATACTTTATGCCATTTCATAACATAAATTCAAATAGGGCAATTCTTGGGGCCTCCTGAAGTCTTGAAGAGACAGTAAGGTGTCCTTCAGAATTCATCCTGGCAGGATAGACCCCCAACCCTTAATCCTACTTCACTCAATTACTAAAAATCCCACCATCTCAAGAGACCTGGGAGTCAAACTGGGGTGCCTGTAGTTCTTTTATAAGCAAGAACCATGTGGCTTACAAAAGTAGTTACCTCATGGTAAGAAGGCCTAGGATCCTTTCAGGACAAGTACAGTGGGGGTGAAGTCAGTATCTGAGGGCTACTCTAGCAACAAACCATTTTGTATAGCATTTCTAAATAAAGATATCCTCAGTAACAAAGAATCCAAAGTAAGTCAAGAGATTGATGCCAATGAGACAGTTTTAGGCCCAGCAGTGCTCTATTTATGTCATTATTGGTATCAAATTTGTTTTCTGAAAAACAAAAATGAAATCTGAGTGTTTAATTTGCTGTGGACAGCTCTACCTGTAAGTGCCATGCAAGATCATTTTCTTTCTTTCACATCCTCAAACTTCCAAGCACCCTATTTTAGACAATAGGTTCTCTTTCTTTTTTCCTTTTTAAATTTTCTATGTTTGTTTTATGTGTGTGTGTGTGTGTGTGTGTCTTTTTTGAAAAGCTTTTTCTTTTCTTTTTGCTTAAATTTTTTTTTTTGTTTTGCTTTGTAGACAATATGTTCTCAATAATGATTGTCAAATGAATGAATGAATCAATCATATGGAAAGTTAGCAGAAAAAAATGAAGAAATGGAAAAACATAACTAGCACCAGTCTTATTAGTAATAAAATTGTGGTCATATCTCCTATAGAAACTTAAAACACAAGGATTATCTGCCTCTTCTTCAGCACCCAATTATGCAATCACCCTACTCCAAGTTATGCTCAGTACATACATGGAACCACCCACCTGCAGACCTTTGTTGCTGGCTTGAACAAGACACTGAGCTTATTAAAGTCAGCTAGAGATGCAGACAGGGGTAGGACTATGTCAGGAGCTTTCAAGTTAACTGCAGGGTGCTGGATAAACACTGTAGCCTTAAAGCAAGTCTTGCATTTTATATTGGTGACTTGCAGCTATGGGAAGGATGGGCTGGAAGGGTACAAAGCTAAGGACTGGGAGATGCCTTATGTGGCTACTTCAGCAATGCAGAAAGTAGTTTCCACACTAAAGAAGTAGTTTTAAGAAAGGCAGAGGGTAGAAATATTCTACAGCCATTCACATGATAAATCCACAGGTCTCAGAGATGGACAGGAAAAAGTGAGAAGGCAAAGTTACAGTTGATGCAAAGGGATAATTCGTGGGCATATGGGTGCTACCAGCTAAGGTGGAAGATAAAGGATCCTGGGAAAGGGCTAGATCAGGAAGCCTCAGTTCCAGGGATACAATATAATTGTGTTAGATCTACTACTGGGAACTCCTTCTGATAGTTACCAGAGTTTGTGAATGATTTACTTTGTTTTCATTAATAAATAGGGTGAATTTGAGATGATATCTAAAATAGAGACATTCTAGTTTATTTTCATTCCAATGCAAGGTCTCGCATGAGAAAAGAAAATACAAACTTTCATCTAGTAGGTCAGGAATTGTGGGTATCCTTCAGCCTATCTGTGACATAGCTTACAGAGTTACTGATTATTCATGGTAAAAACAATTCACATTATTTTATTCTTCTTAAATGGGGATATCTTGGGAGTGTGTCATGTAAGTGAATGTCAGCTATCTTGTTTTCAAAATGGGCAATGATTGACAAACTATTGCCCAAAGGAACATTTGAGGGTGTTACCTCCATCTGACTGTCATTGACTAGCTGCTACCACTGAAGAGGCCTTTCTAATGGGGTCTTTCACTGTCTTTTGAGGAGTCCATCACATCTACCCTGTCAGAGCACAAGCTCTGAGACACTGAGCAGAAGTTCTTGGTAGAGGGAACTGGAGGGGGAGTGACAAGAATTTCTAACAAATAAAAGTACACATTCTGTTACTTAAGGTCAAGTAAGATCAGGAGCCCTCAGTCACGGGGATAAAGAGAAAGAGTCTGCATGAGTGAGCCCTGAAAACTAAGGCTGGAAATGTATGCAAAATCCGAGAGTCTTCAAAATCAGGAGGAAGGTTTTAAATTTATCCTGTGGATAAAGAGACTTCTAGGTCAAGGTGGCGAAGGTAAGCCAGATCATTGAGCCTCTGGTATTTTTTTATGTGAGGAGGACCTAGTGGAACTAGGCCTGCAAAGAACACCTTTTGGTTTCTGGACACAGTGGTATTAGTTTTTGCAGTCACCTTTCATTTCATCATTCCTAAGTTTTGAGTCACGTTCCTGATTGTTACAAGGTTGGGTGGGGGGGTCTGCCAGCAGCTGTGGCTTCTTTGAAATCCTAGGTCAAGTTCTGCTTTTTAATTTGTCTTGGAGAAATCACTTCTTCTTACCTTTCTTCATTAATTGCCTAGACTTATGATTTTTGCCTTCACATGCAATTGTATTAGCATGAAAGAACTTACCATGGAGCCGATCCTAGGATCTACAAAACTCCCTTCTTCATTCCGGGACCCATTGGGCAGGGTAGTACTGTTGAGAGAAGCATCATCTGGCTAAATGGAGAAATGAAAGTACCGTTCTTATTCAGGCAAATGCTTTCTAATGTGGTTGTGCATTCCACTGTATCTACATATTGAGACATGTGTGGAATATATGAATCAATGACTGCCTGGGCACTGACAGGTACAGCCTTGCTGTGAGCCATTTGAATGCCAGTCCCTCTCACAGAAACTGATCTCTGTGGCAAACAGTGCTGTTATCTGCCACAAACTTCATTTGCTTCAATACTACCTTGGTTTAATTCCAGAGAGCTAGATGATAAATTCAAAACCTTGATCTCTAGGTTCATTTGCAGCTAAGAGAGATCATGGGACTAGTGTGGCCAATAAAATGTAACAATAAACTTACCAAGAGAGCTTCTGGGAAAGCTAAGGCTTTCCTGATCAAAACCAAACCAACCAACAAACAAAAAAATCTCAGCTGGTATATGCTCGTGACAGGACCACAGCCTAGAGTTGTCAGGTATTTTGTACAAATAAGGATCATAGGGATGATGATTCTGTAGATCTGGTTGTGTCTATGAGAAGAGGGCGTCACATGGCTGCCCCATCAGACCTGGTCCACCTATGCTAAGTATCTCCATGGGAAGCAAAACAACTACTTTTTTTTTTATTACATGCACCCAAATGCAAACTTAATTGATCTAATACTTTTTGGTTCATTCTTGCAAATTCTAGGACTGTTTTTTTTTTTTTAGTGAATAGAATTCAGTAGCAATGGTACCAACTCTTTTTTTCTTTGTCATTCATAAAGCTCGTACTGTTTTTTTTCCTGTAATGTACAATGATTATACTGAAATTAAAAGATAACATTATTTTCTTTGCCAAAGGAAACATCACAAAATTGAATATATTTGATACTTATGAAAACATACAATGTTTTCTTTTTAAATAACCGTCAATCTTCAATTCATTTGACCAATTTTCTCAACTCATTTGACCATATTTTCTCAATTCTCATATAGATGGCCTCTATTTCTTTTATAAAATGAATAAAGAACTTTTCTTTAAAGAAACAAATAAAACCCAAGACCTAGCACAAGAAATTTGAACCAAGATGGAAAACATCTACCTCCCTGTCCTCCCCATATCACTACAAATGGCAGGAAAAACATACACACACACACACACACACACACACACACACACACAGATTTTTAACAGCACTGGATTATCAGCAGAGAATTCTGTAGCAGAAAACTTGAAGAAATTTCTGGATGTAATACAAATGGGATTAGTTTGGGAGGATAAAAACCTCTGCCTAAAAGTAGCATAAAAGAAAATTTCTCAGGACAGAAGAGAAAAATAAATAATAAAGAAGAGAACACAGGCAAATTATTAAGAAATGTTTGCAAAAACGGAAGCCACACAGACCTTCCCTTCCTTAAAAATGTAGATAATCCTTAAATATAATCCTAGGAAAATGCAAAAAAATACAATCTAAACAAAATGATCTAAGTGTTTGGGGTGGATGAGTTTCTAGTGTGGGCCCAAAGGTCTAAAGGAAAAGGAACTCCAGAAGTCACAATGAAGACATGGAGGGGAGAACAAAAGCAGAAATCAGCTTTGCCCAGAAGTAAAAAACTAAGAGTTCTTCATCTCCCTCATTGGTTTTGCAATGAGAGTGTGTAACCAATCTACCCACTCTACACACCTTAAAGTTTAGTATATTCCAGTATTCACTTAGATGAACTCACAATCGACAATATTTGCATTTTGGAAAAATAAATCTACCTAACAGTACAGGAAACATCAAATAATTTCCTACACCAATCAAAAAAAAATCAATGAAGTCTAGCTCTGCAGAAAACTTCAGAAATTCAGAGAGCTGTTATGTCCATCTGCAAATGTGCTCAAATCTTCTGCCCTGTGGAACACCTTTCCACTGTGTTTCCTTGGGTGGAGTCTTTGGGTGGATCTACCACCTTCCTTTGTGACAGGGTGCTGATAGGCTAGGCAAGGGCCTGGGGAACTGAACAGGAAGAAAAACTCCTAGGACCCACAGTCTTGATCAGAAGTTCTCCATCCACTGGAGGACATTCGCTGCCACTCAATAGGAGGTGTGCAGTTTCCGGACCAGATGGTGCTCATGTTCCAGCAGATACGTCACTGTTTACATCACTACTGCTACATATTGCAAAAGCTACCATGTTCTCTCCACGGAATATTTACATTTGGAAAATCACTGGAAAACACTAAATGTTTATATCTTAGTCAATACTGAAAATACTGCAAAGAATTTTACAGGGTTGTCTGTAAAGCTTACCCTTGAAGACCAAGCTTTAGTTGACAATAACCAACACACAGGATGTGCATAAACTATTTTTGCTATTGTTATGTCTGCCTATAGATTATTTTAAAGATAGAATTTAGTTATTTTGGATTTACCCATAAAATTATTACTTGCTGAATTTAAGAACCAAGAATGATGAGGCTGTATTTGTGTTTATCAAAAATCTCAATTATGTGGCATCAATACCCAGGAGAAATAAAAATACACATTCTTTATATTGTATTAATGTTCATGGCAGCATTGCTTACAATAGCTCCAAACTGGAAATAATCCTAATGTCCATCAGTAGGTGAATAAATATGCCAATAGTGTCATATTGGTACAATGGATTACTATTAGTTATAATAGGACTACATAAAATATATCTTAAAATTATGATCATTAATTTAAAAAGCAGATTCAAAAGAGTATTTTATGATTCCATCTATGTGGAAGGGGAAACCAACCTAATGTGTTAGGAATCACAGCAGGGTTTACCTCTAAGGGAGAGAAGGAACACTGACCAAGAGGAACACTGCTCCTAACAGAAACATCAGCACAATTTCTAGAGTTTCCTAGCCATCTTGTAAGAATAAGGGTTAACTCCACATGCTAAGGTGGCATTGTTCAAAGGAAAAGGCCAGAGGTCCATGGTAAAGTTGCCACTGCACCCTGCTCCAGCTGAACCAGCTTTGGTTTATCCACCATCGGTTTGATGGTGGGATGAAAATATTCTACATTTTGGTAGATTAACACATTTGTTAACATTAATTGAATTATGTACCAAAAGTATATGCACTTATTATGTGTAAATTATGCCTCAACATCAAAAAGCTTAAAAATTTTTGACTGAAAAATAATTTAATTCTTATCTTCAGAGATAAGATAAGGATATCTTATCTTCAGAAATAAGATAAGTAGCTATGGGTAATTTGAAATAGAACATACTACTATAACAATGAGTAAATCAGAGAGAAACATGTTTTTCTTAGGAAATAAGAATATGTTTGCTGATATTTACAAATAGAGTGAGGCAAGAAAAATAATAACAACCAAGAAAAATATTAAATCTAGAATATAAGGATGAAAAAAATCTAGAAGACAGAATGAACAGACATACATGAGAGAAAGTTTAGGAAATAACAATAATAATAAATTTTAATAATTCAGGCAAAGCAACAACGATGTATTCTAAAAGGATGGGACTTAGAAAATGGGGAGAAAAAAATAATTGTAGACATAATGAAAGACAATGTCTAGAAACTGGAGAAAACAATTCTCAGATGGAAAGTATCCACTGAGCGTTGATAAGAAATGAAGGAAATGAAGAACAAATCTTTGTGGAAGTTCAGAACTGCTGGTAGAAGAGGAAGTACATCCTTAACATTTTTCAAATTCATAAAATTGAAACAGTTGCAAGAGAGGGTAAACAAACAAAAATCCTAGAGAAGCTTATATAAAAAGAAACAAGGTTCCGGCAACTAAAATAAGAAAAACAGAAAACAAAAGCAAATGTCTTGTGAAAAGTGTCAAAACCTGTTAATGAAAAATAAAAGAAATTCTACTGTGCAGGTTTTCCACAGAACTAAGATTTTGTGTTAAAAATGAACAGTTAGTTGCACATGGTCCTAACAGAAACATCAGCACAGTTTCTAGAGTTTCCTAACCATCTTGTAAGAATAAGGGTTAACTCCACATGCTAAGGTGGCACTGTGCACAGGAAAAGGCCAGAGGTCCATGGGAAAGTTGCCACTGCACCCTGCTGCAGCTGTACCAGCTTTGGTTTATCCACCATCGGTTTCTTACTTTGTGATTAAAACAAACTCCTACTTGTTTAAATCAAGGTTCCTTAGATTTTCTTTTATAGGAAGCAAACACAGATGCAACTGATGATTTTTAACAGATGGTGTGATTGTATTTTGCAGTGAATTATGAATCAATAGCAAGTGTAGCTATTTGATTTTCACTTAAGACACTGGAAATAAACAAGATTGATTACTTTGCCTTTTCAATAAACTAACATCTCCACTGAATATTTCATTTATCTTGGCTGAACATAAGGGAAATGTCTTCTTTTAACTATATAAGAAGTGATTTGTAGATGAGGTTTCGGATGCTGGCAGACTGGATTGTAAATCTTTGATAAATGCAGATTTAGGGGCATTTGTGGAAGAGTCAAGGGTCAGCCACATCTAATACATGAATAGACTACTCATTTATTTATTGTAAGTAGTTTACTATAAATAAAATCATAGTCCTTTATGAGGACTCCTTTGAACACTTGTTCAAAGTTCAAAAGATTTTCTCAATAAACTTATTATCAAGATACTGCCAATATACAATTAAGTGCATATTTAAAACACAATTAAGTGAAAATTTAAACTGCAATATTTAAGGAGTACACATCATACAATCTGATAATTTTTGACAAAAATTATAGTCAAGATAATAATAATTATCATTAATTTAAAAAGCAGACAAGATCTCTCCTCTCCTCCCCTCCCCTCTTCACCTTCCCCAGATCGCTGGCAATTCACTGAGCTTTCTGTCACTCTATGTTAGTTCCACTTTCTATAATTTTATATATATTGAATATTTTTTGGTCTGGCTTCCTTTACATGGCATGATTATTTTGAGGTCCATCCATGCTAAATGTAGACAGTTCATTGCTTTTTACTGCTGAGTAGTATTCCACTGTGTGGACATACTATAGTTGTTTATCCATTTACCAGTAGGTGGACATCCGGGCTGTTTTCAGTTTGGGGCTATTACAAATATAACTACATTTAAACAGTCTTTGTATGGATATGTACCACCTTCTGGTGGAAGGGTAAGTACATCCTTAACACTTTAAGAAGCTGCTAAATCATCTTTCAAAGTGGATGAGTCACCTACATTCTCAGCGTAAAAAAGGTCCAGTTGCTCTGAATTCTTGACACTGCTCAATGAGGTCAGTCTTTTCCATTTGAGCCATTCCACAGGGAATCTAGAGAGATCTCGCTATGGCTTTATTTGCGTTTCTATGATCATTAATGATAGTACATTTTCGTGAACTTATGGGCCATCTAGGTGCTTTCTTTGAAGAAGTGCCTATTGCCCATTCTAAAAGGCAAGAAAAGACCTAACAAATGTTGACACTGGAAGACTTAGGGTATGTGCCTGGGAGAGAAAGTTGATTTGTTTTTAGAAGTAGATGGTTCCTGAGGTTAATTCAAGGGAACCAAGGGTTGGAAATACCAGCAAAGAGCAGATGGTGAAGCACTTTTAGTATCCAAAGGAGTTTTTATATTTTTTCTGTAAATGAGAGGGATTATAATCTGGGAAACAATGGTAGTTAGCCAGCTGACCAACCCTCCCTTCTCCTAAAACCTAACAGAAGCAACAAGATGTAGCTAAAAGACAGGAAAGAATAAGCATAGCAGCATTCATATAAGTCAGAGAGAGAGATTTCAGAAATAATGTGGATTCTTTCCCCAAATCTACCTCTTGCCTCATTAACACAAGCACAAGGATGAAGCAAATGCAGAAAATTCTGGAAATGATTACACAGTAGTATCTCCTCTGAAGCAGGAAAGATAATAACTAGAGGTATGAGTAGCCACGGGTAGGTTTAATCTGTGACTACCCTTTCAAACTAAAAGTCTCTGCTCAACATCATCTCTGCAGAGAAGAAAGGACCTATTGGGATTTGCCAGTTTGCTTTTTTTCTATCTGGGAAGAAGTTGGGAGAGGGGCTAAGAAGATGGAAAAATAAAAGGGAAAATAAATTACATAAACTCTAGACTGGGAGAGAAAAGATAGCTTAGGCTAGGCTACAAGTAGAAACAGATGAGAAAAATCAGTGGATGAGGGATAAATACAGCAACCTTTCCCCACTGTACTTTAATAGAGGCCTGATCATTGTCCTTGGCTGGCCTGACTTTGCCCTGCTCTGGTTAACCCCAAAGAGAAGTGGCTTTCTGGGGAAGGTGAGGGAATAGGGAAGAGAGAGGGGAACTGGACACCTCAGGTGAAGTGCTGTCCTCATAAGGGGACGGATATCCACCTGCAGCGGGGAACAAAAAGAACACACAGAAACAAGAGCCTGTTGCAGCAGGCAGACTTGTAACTCAGTGGTACTAAGACTCCTAAGAGAATTTTTATAAATGAAAGAAAAAAAAAATGTAAGGACATTAACTCTATCAAAAAAGAAATGCTTTCAAATCATAGAGTTCCTCCGTGTATGTCTATTTTCATAAAATAATGGATTTATTTGTGGATTTACCTATTAAACTTGATCTTATTTGCTGCTGAATATTTTTCTTACAAATTGATCAAAGGTAGACAGATATGTTGAAAGCTGTGGTTGTCCAACCGTCTTAATCACACCACAATTTTTCCAAGGCTTGCATGATTGTCTTGAAGAAATGGCTGCTTCTTTCATCCCTACCCGCAGTTCCCATTCTATAACTTACCACAGGACCACTCGTTTGGATAACTTCTGGTACCTCTTTTTCTTCCTCAGTGCCACCCAACTGAGCAGTATGGTTGTCACAAGCATCATCTGGCTAATAAAAAAAAAAAAAAGAAGAAAGAAAGTCGTTTTTATCCAGGCATTTATCTTTCCAAATGTGACAGTGCATTCCATTATGCATTCCACCAGCATTTGTATATATCTGTGCAGTTGTGTGGAGATAGATAATGACCCTGTGGTTTGATAATAGCACTTACCAATTTTCCCATAACCATATTGATTCTCATAAATGCCATGCACTATAATAGAATTGGTCTCAAAAATAAAGACACTGCCAACTGCCTGCCAAAATCCCCTTTTGTTTAATAACTTATGAATATCATGATTTTGTTCCATGGACAAAAAGACTTAAGTGTCATCCTGTGATGGCTACATCCAATTAGATAAGAATGAAATTCTACTTGGTAGAGCATCCAACAGTGTTTTCTTATTGGAATGGAAGAATTCAGTTGACTAGTGTTTCTTCCAGGAACATAGACAGGAAACCGAGATGCCCAAACATCCTGTCCTATAAGTAAAAGCTATTAGCCTGTATGCTAAGGGAACAGAATGAAACCATAAAAGAATTGGTAGATTCATTCTACCACAGCCATTCCAGCCTTGACCTTCCTACCTCGAACTTCTTATTTTAAAACAAAAGTAAGCCTCTAATTGTCTAATGATTCAGCTCACTGACTAATACCATGTGGTTTTAAAAGCAGACTTTATGGCTACATTTTGCAGTGGTTTATAAATCCATAGCAAAAAATAGTCCATCTTTTTTCTATTATGAGAGTGAAAATATATTAGAACAAGTACTTTATGAATACATAGGACTGAACTAAATATTTTATTCCCATTCACTGAATATTGGAAAAGCTCTGATTTTCATTATGCAGGAAGTGTATTTAGAAATTAGGTTTCTGATTGTGATGGACTGCACTGCAGGCCTGTGCATGAGCTCTAAGATTTAGCAGCATCTGTAATAGAGGAATTCTTCCCAATAAAATGCAAATATTACATTCCATGGTTGAAGCAACTTTTTGCAAAATTAAACATACTGGATATTACTAAAATCATGTATACATGAAACTTTAGAAGGTGTTATTTTTCATCTTGTTTCTCTGTGTTATCTAACTTTCCCCCAAAGTGCACATATTATATAAATAGAAAAGCATCTGTTTTTAGTGGCAAACAATGCTCAAGAGGAAGCAGAAGCAGTTTTGGTCAGAAGACTGAGCACATACCACCTACCCTCCTCCACCCAATCACTCATTATTAAGAAGGTGTGTATTTTGATAAGAACAGGTTCAGAATGGCACTACAAACAACGAAGTGTTCTAATGACAGATCAGAAATTTTGTTAGAGATACCTGGAAAATCACAAGTAAATAATTTGAAAATTGTGGGGCTATTCTCAGCCTAAGAACAACATAAGACCACATTTCTGGCATGGAGAGGACAGATCCATAGAAAACTGCAAACAACAAATAAACAGCTCAAATAAAAAATACAAAGGGCAAGGCTAGGGTAGTTTATTATAAGTGTTTCTCAGGAAATGGCAGGAGAGACCTCTACCTAGCCCCCATGAATAGCTTGGAATAGCTATATATGAATTCAAGAGAAGCACTCTAAACAAAGTGTACTTTGGGGGGAAGAATTCCAGGACAGATGTTCAGACTTGGGACCAAAACAGACCTCAATATCAGGTTGCTCTGGACCTTTACGGAAGGGAGAATAAAAGGAAAACATCGATTCTGTGTGGAACAGAAAGAATTCACGAAATTATTCACCCCTCCCTTTAGGCATTCAGGTGTGTGCTTGTGTTATGGTTTGAATGGGTCCCTCAAAAAGGCATGTGGTGGAAATACAATTTCCAATGTAGCAGTATTAAGAGGTAGAGCTTTAAAGAGTGGAATGGGACACAAAGGCACCTGTGAGAATGCCCTCTGACTCTTTGTCTTCCACCTTCAACTGTGGGATGATGGAGCCCAAAGGCCCTCCCTAGATGCCAGCCCAGCTCCCAAAGTTTGGAGTTTCCCCAGTTTTGGAGAATGGTAAGAAATCAATCTGTGTTGTTGATACATTACCCAAGCTGTGATATTCTATGATAGAGGAAATGGATTAAGATTGTGTGTGTGTGTGTGTATGTGTGTGTGTCTACTTTTGCATGTGTGCTATCAAACTAATTCCCATTTATACACTGCACACATACTGTATTGATTTACCCAAGACCCATAGTCAGTTTTTCAAATCAACATTCAGTAAAAGAAATACAGTGTGATATATATCCTGATAGAAACAGATAGTTGAGAGAAGAAAAGAAAGCTTGTAATGACTTAATATTTTCAGAAATTTGAAAGGATATTGCATCCATAAATCAGCACTGTAACAAAAAAATAAAAAACAAAAAAACGGGAAATCAGTGAAAATGGAGGAGTTCTTGTGTATTAACAGTATGACTGCTGAATTAAAAATATCAAGGGGCTAAGTTATATCCATTCATGGCAAAAAAAAAAAAAATAGAAATAGGGACCAAATTTTGTGGACAAAATCTACTTGCACACAGAGAAAAAAAGATATGGAAAAATATAAGAAACAATTTAAGAAATATGTGAGTTTAAGCAAGTAAAGGAAGAACATAAAAAATGGGAAGAAATAAGAAACAAAAGGAGGAGAATGTTTGAAATTGAAAGGAATCATTTTTAAAAACAAAAATACTTGAGTGCTGACCACGAGGAAAAACAAAAACATTTTCTATCTGGATGATATTTCAGGTCTCAGAAATAAAGCTATACCCAAAAGCTCCCAGAACTCTAAAAAATGAAAGTAGAAAATAAATAAAGGAGTAAAACTTAACTTCTCAACAATAAGGCAAATGGGCTAATATCTAGAAACTTCTACAGGAGCCAAATTTAGGCTCTAGGATCTTGATATTCACCAATTTAGGATTTATGTTTTTTGGATCTGAAAATTTAGTATCCAGAGACATTTGCTGCCGGATATGCTCAAAAGTTAGAAGGTAAAGTCTGCTAAAATGTAATAATTTATAATACATGTGATTATGTAATTGATATTTTTATTATTCTCTGTAGTGACTTCATTATCTAGCTAGCCTTCATCATGTGCCTGTATGAAAAACCAAGACAGATGGTCCCTGATATCAATGGGTCCACTCACAATTTTTCAACTTTAGGATGGACGTGAAAGATATACATGCTTGGTAGAAACTGTACATTGAGTCTTGAATTTGGATCTTTTCCTGAGCTAACTATATGAAGTCCGAACCTCTCTCAAGGCTGGGCAGGAGTTATCCAGGGCCTGAGGGGAAACTCTCTGAGATGGAGCTCAAGATGGAACTCCTTCACTTACACCTAAGCTACAGCCAAAAGGTCAGCATGACTGGCTTGTAATGTTCAGGTTAGGTGTAATATGTGAAATTTTTAAAAAAAATATTTTTAAGTTGTTGATAGACCTTTATTTATTTATTTGTTTGTTTGTTTATATGTGGTGCTGAGAATTGAACCCAGTGCCTCCCACGCCAGACAAATATACTACCATGGAGCCCCAGCCGCAGCCCTACATACCCGGGGCCTTACCCATGTTAGGTGAGCATCTTGCCACTGCACTCCACCCCAGCCCTTCAGTGCATCTGTGTGTGTGTGTGTGTGTGTGTGTGTGTGTGTGTGTGGTGTTGGGGATCGAACCCCCTTTGATGCATTTTTGACTTAATATTTTCAACTTATGATGGTTTTATCAGACCTAGCCCCAGGAGCCCCATCATAAGACTGGAACATCTCTCCTTGCTTTCTCATTCTAGAAACTGACCAGCAGTGCAGGGGTGAGGCTGGAATTAAAACTTAAATACTCTCTTCCATCTAAGTGAGAAGTTTATACATATATTTGGCACTATCGTTGCCCCATGACTAACCTTTCAAAGGTGACCTTCAAGGGTTTAAACAAAAGGAATAGTGAAAGACAACTGGCAGAAGAGTGTGCTGGCAGTAAGAGACTGGGACGGAAAGGGATGCTGGAGCTTTGCTGCAGTCCTGTATCAGTGTGGCTACCTTTGGGCCTTTTGGCACTTAATGATTCACTCTCTGAGATGGAGCTCAAGATGGAACCCCTTCACTTACACCAAAGCTACAGCCAAAAGGTCAGCATGACTTAGCAGGGAGGGGTGGACACAGCAGATGAAGGGCAAATGGAGGGTGGGTTAATGTCCCCACAAGACTGATAAAAAATTATTTCATGGTCTTTCAGTTCAAAGGCCAGCCGTTCCCCTACTGAGTAACTGAACTACCATGTCTTGCCTTCTAACCATTATCACTGCTTTTGATTGTGCATTAAATTAATTTTTAGGCTAGAACTCAGATCATGTAGGACTTTAATTGTTGAACAAATGAACCATTAATAGCAGTTACAGCATTTGGGGATCCTGATACAACATCGAGGTCATAAACCTACTGTTGATATGAACCATAAAGCAGCTCTGCACTGTTATGCCCAGAATAACTGGTTCTGTTCACCAGTTACTCGGTCAATTAATGATTTGATAACTTTAACTTTGTTTGGGTGAATTTTATCCTTCAAACATTTGTTTAAGCTCCAAGGTCACTCAACCAAAATTTTTAACCCATAGTTTATTAGCTCTAGTAGAGATTATAAATAAATATATTCTGTGGATTAATTAATTAAGCTCCATAGAGTCTTCTCAACTTATTTTAAAATCCCTGCTTCTTCATGGGGAGGTCAATTTCATGATCACAAGTAATAGGCTTAAAACCTCAGTCACTCATACAAGTCTCTATCTAAGAAACAAATGACTTTGCCTCCTTTGCAGAGTCAGGATACTGTACCTGTTAAACAGATAGCACTGGGTAGGCAATGACTCTAATACTTTTAATGCTAGATGTTTTTGGCAAGCAGGCAGGGTTTTTGTTCCTTTTACTTTTAAAATATTTCCTTGAGTACAGACCTGTGTTGGGTTAATAATATAATTAATAAAAAATCTGGTAGTTCAAGTTAAACGTGTGCAAATTCTGTGTGCAAGGG